AATAGACATTTCTCAAAAAGACACACGTAGCCAATAGGCATATGAAAAAATGCTCAACATGACTAATTATCAGGGAAATGCAAGTCAAAACCCCAATGAGATATCATCTTACCCCAGTTAGGATGGCTATCATCAAAAAGACAAGAAATAACAAATGCTGGTGAGGTTATGGAGAAAAGGGAACTCTTGTACACTCTTGGTGGGAAAGGAGACGCTGTGGAGAACAGCATGGATGTTCTTCAAAAAACTAAAAATAGAACCACCATACGACCCAGCCATCCCACTACTGGGTATTTATCCAAAGGAAAGATTGTGCACTCCTGTGTTTATTGCAGGGCTATTCACAATAGCCAAGATTCTAAATCAACCTAAGTATACATCAGTGGATGAATGGAAAAGAAATGAAAAAGGAAATGTAATCTATATACATAATGGAATACTATGCACCCATGAAAAAGGAATGAAATCCTGTTGTTTGCGGCAAGATGGATGAGGCTGGAGGACATTATGTTAAGTGAAATAAGTCAGGCACAGAAAGATAAATACTGCTTGTACTCACGCGTGTGGAATCTAAAAAAGTTAATGTCATAGAAGTAGAGTAGAATAGTAGTTCTACTAGAGGCTGGGAGGGGCTGGTGGGGGCTAGGAAAAGGTTAGGTAATGAATAAAAATTATAGCTAGATAGGAGAAATAAGCTCTAGTGTTCTATAGCAGTACAGAGTGACTACTGTTCACAATAATTTATTGTGTGTTTTCAACAGCTAGAGGATAGGATTTTCAATCTTCCCAACATGAAATGATAAATGTTTGAGGTGATGGCTATGCCAATTATTCTGATTTGATCATTACACACTGTATACATGTATCAAAATATCACTCTGTACCCCATAAATATGTATAATTATGTGTCAATTAAAAATAATGTAAATGGTTTTTAAAGCTAAACACAATCCAAAATTGCCAATCAGAGAATCTTGTAACAAATGGAGACATTGCAATATAAACAGAGGCCCAGTGATACAAAGCCAGATAGATACTGCTATGTAAACAGATTACTCCAAATGACCAGCTAGCTGGCAAAGTCTCTTCCCCACAGCAGGGAGTACAGTAAGAGAACCTTGGAGCCAGGGGAAGGCAAGGCAGAGACATAAATCCAGATGACACAACCGTTGGTTTGGGGTATCAGGAACATTCTCATCACTGGGGATGGCATCCATGTCCCAACATAGTAAGCGCACAGCAGTGAGCTCACGGTGTACAGGATGCTGGGTGAGGCTGCACCTGCGGGCCCTAACTCTGCTGTGGGTACTCCTGGACGAATCACTAGCCACTCACTGCTTCCTGGCCTTGCTGCAGCCTGTGTGAAGACCCAGTGAGGTAAGAATGTGAAACTGTTAAATAAAATTGGCTAAAGCAGAGCACAAGTATGAGGTGATCTGTCTGGACAGGCAAGGGCACTGTGCGTCCATTGTTGTGTGGACAGATCAGTTTACTTAATCCATCCTGTACTGTGCGGCGTTCCAAGTTTTTATTTAAACAATGCTTGCTTATCGCAGGAACTAGATATAACCTTGAACATAACCTTTGCGTGCACAATTATTCCCTTAGGGTAAAGTTCCAGAAGTAGAAAGGCAAGACTAAAGCTCTTTCTTCCCAAATTGTCCTCCGAAAAAGCCATACCAATTTACCTGATTTCCCGGACCCCGGCCCAGAATGAGCATTATCAATTTCTAAAAATTATTTAACAATCTAAAAGGTTAAGAATAGTATTTTGCTATTGCAACCAGAATCTCTTCTATTACAAATGATGCTGAATTTTCTTTTTCTTTTTTTTTTTTTGGAGACGGAGTTTTGCTTTTGTCGCCCAGGCTGGAGTGCAGTGGCGCAATCTCAGCTCACCACAACCTCCGCCTCCTGGGTTTAAGCCATTCTCCTGCCTCAGCCTCCCGAGTAGCTGGGATTACAGGAGTGCACCACCACACCTGGCTAATTTTATATTTTTAGTAGAGACAGGGTTTCTCCGCTTGTCAGGCTGGTCTCCAACTCCCAACCTCAGCCTCAGCTTTCCAAAGTGCTGGGATTACAGGCGTGAGCCACTGTGCCAGGCTGATGCTGAATATTTTAACCTATGCTTGTATTTCTTCTGTGAACTAATGTCAATCTCTGTGGTTCATTTCACCAAGGGTATTTATCTCCTTAATTTTCGAGAGCTGGGATTTATAGGATGGACATAAATCCTTCGCCTCTCACATGACATAAATATCTTTCCTCATTTGCCCTCTGCCTTTCAAATTTGCTTTTAGTTTAAATTTTTAAATATATTTGAAACATCAGCCTTTTCCTTTACAGCCTCCTGACTTTCATGTTAAAGTAGCCCCCACCCAAGGACATAAATATTCTCCCATGTTGTCTTTGTTTTTTTAATTTATTAATTTTTTTTTTTTTTTTTTTTTTTGAGACAGAGTATTGCTCTGTTGCCCAGGCTGGAGTGCAGTGGTGCAATCTCAGCCGATTGCAACATCCGCCTCCTCGGTTCAAGCGACTCTCCTGCCACAGCCTCCCAAGTAGCTGGAACTACAGGTGCACGCCACCACCCCCGGCTAATTTTTTGTATTTTTAGTAGAGACAGAGTTTCACTGTGTTAGCCAGGCTGGTCTCGAACTCCTGACCTCATGATCCACCCACCTCGGCTGTCTTTAAGTTATATTATGACTTCCTTTTCTAGAGTTACCTCTCTAGTCAACCTGAAATTTATACGTGTGAATCCATAGCAGGAGTTAAAAGCTGACTATTTAAAATAAAAAGAAACAAAGAAATCAATTAGCCCAATTAGCCCAGCCTTACCTTTGAATAATTCATTCACTCTCTAGTAATTGAAATAGACCATAATTCTGAAATTATTAAAATATTGTAATACAGGCAGAAGAATATACAATTAAATCAGTCAAACAGAATAGGCCACCTGTCTATAAGTATTTATTGTATGAGAAAAATGATATATTTCATATTACTAGAGAGTTGATGAATTAATAAGTAAGGCTGGGCTAATTGATTTTTACAAGCTGAGCTAATTAATAATATTTTAATTATTAGAATAATCTATCATTTTGTTTTTACCAGTTTCTTATTCAAGATACATTTTAGAAACATTTCATCCATCTAAATATAACTTAACGTAATTCTGTCTTTTAAACACTTTATTGGGGCTATATAAGAAAGCTATCTGTTTTTGTATATTTGTTATATAACCCATCAATTTCCTGAACCCTTTCCTTACTGCCAATCACTTTCCAGATCTTGGTTTTCTGGACAGACAACCAAAGTATCACCTCTTTTCTTATAGCCAGTTTCTTTTAGCACTGCACCGCCTAGGTATTACAATATAGAATAATAGTGGTGAGGGCAGTAAAAACTGTTCCTCTGATTAATAGGAAGGCCTCTGATGTTTGATGGTTAGGAATGACAATGTTAGCCAAACGCTTAAGGCAGATATTTCTAATCCTCTTAGTCAGAAAGGACCCTACTTCTGGCTCCTACTTGATTAACCTTGGGAATAAATATTTAATTTTACTCTAGACAGGCTCCCAAGCACAGGTCTACAAATCCCAGACACCACATGAAAAAAGAATAAAGTGAAACATACCTGCTAGCCTGCTGCCCTGACCCCACCAAGTTACAGAAGAGGATTAGCACCTTGCTCTCACTGTGGAGAGAGAGGGAGAATCGCTGGCCCTCACGGGCTGCCAGGCGTGGGGAGACCGACAGAGCCAGTGGATGAGCTGGAGGAGAGAGAATGACATTCGTTCATATTCCCAAAGAAGCTGCTTTCCTGAGTCAGAGCCTTAGCTTCTCTAGTCCCTCTTTCTCTTTGAGCATCTATTAACCACCAACGGGGGGCCACTAGAGGGTTTTAGGGGAGGAGATAACAAGGTTCATGGCATTTGTGCCATCTGACACCTGGCATACGAACATCAAGAATATGGTAGTGAATTTGCAATTGTGTTCACCCAGTAGTTTTTTGTGTGTTTCTTTGAGACAGAGTCTCGCTCTGCCCCCCAGGCTGGAGTGCAGTGGCGCAATCTCGGCTCACTGCAAACTCTGCCTTCCAGGTTCAAGTGATTCTCCTGTCTCAGCCTCTCCAGTAGCTGGGATTGTGGATGTGCGCCACCACACCCAGCTAATTTTTTTGTATTTTTGGTAGAGATGGGGTTTCACCATGTTGGCCAGGCTGGTCTTCAACTCCTGACCTCCAGTGATCCTCCTGCCTTGGTCTCCCAAAGTATTGGGATTTCAGGCGTGAGCCACTGTGCCCGGTCATCACCCTATAGTTTTAAAACAGGAACAAGAATTTAACTAATATTTTTCAAGGCACCTGAAAAATACTCCAAAATAATTTTGGTTGCTTTTATGACTTCATTACAGAACCCCAGGGTATCTACTCTCTTAGAAAGCCAACAAAAGAAGTATACAGAGATGGATGAGAATCTCTACGAATGAGGAAGTAGAGGAATTGGACTATCGTCCATTTGCATCTCAGTTCTGAACTGTTGACTTTAAAGGAAAAGATGTGTCCGTCATGATTGAATTTGAAAGGAGAACTTGTTTCACTGGGTTGTAACATAGTCAGTGTCAGTTAATGTCTTGTTCTAGATTCCAATGCCCAGCATCTCCCTGTCAACTCAGAGAACTGCGAACATCCAGTTCCTATAGGCTGCTACCTAGGCCGGCTAAAACATGGGGCCAGGGCATAGGAAACATCTGGGGTATAATGTAACACTGACATAGGGTCCTTTAAATATGGGCCTTCAGGCTGGGCGTGGTGGCTCATGCCTGTAATCCCAGCACTTTCAGAGGCCGAGGCAGGTGGATCACCTGAGGTCAGGAGTTTGAGACCAGCCTGGCCAACACGGTGAAACTCCGTCTCTACTAAAAATACAAAAATTAGCCGAGCATGGTAGCAGGTACCTATAGTCCCAGCTACTTGGGAGGCTGAGGCAGGAGAATCACTTGAACCCGGGAGGCAGAGGTTACAATGAGCTGAGATCGTGCCACTGTACTACAGCCTGGGTGACAGAGTGAGAAACCATCTCAAATATATATATATATATGTCTCAAATATATATATATTTATATATGGGTCTTCTTCACTAGCAACTTGGCCAACATGTATCCTGACCTACAAATAAAAAGGACTGTTAGAAACTGACCGTGTTAGCCAGTCTATGGTATAGGAAAAACAAGCATTAAGAAGTGGAACTATTTTGTTAAAAAGTCATTTAATAAACTCTTTAACCATGTACTGCTCAAATTTGTAGACATTTTACTTCACACACAAACCTTGACCCATAGGAATCCTGACGGCAAAGATGACTCCAGCATTTATACCAAATGGTGGTTCTCAAAGTGTGGTTCCTGGACCAGCAGCATCAGCATCACCTGGGAACTCGCTTAGATGTGCAAACTCTTAGGCCCCACCCCAGGCCACCCAAATCATATAGTCTGTGGGTAGGGTCCAGAAATCTGCTTTCGCACGTCCTCCAGGTGATTCTGATATTCACTAAGGTTTTGAGAATCCCTGTATTAGCTGAATAATTTTTAATATCAACCATCTGCACACAACAAATGCCAGGGATAATAAGTCTGACTGTTCCAAGTGCTAAAACTGGATGTTTTACGCCTTTGCACCTAAAGAGTATCCTCTGAAACCTGTAACTCATCATAGCCAAATAAAATTGTGTAAAGCACCTGTTATACCTGAGAGAGTCCCCTGGCTGGGTGAGGGAGGAACTTGAAAGGCATACACATTATCTCCCTCTGCGATAGTATTCAGGTCCTCTTCATCAAAGAAAGACCGCTGAAATCCACTGGGATACAGTTCAACTAAGATCACCTGAAATGAGAAAGATCATTTTCCCTCTTGATTTCCGAAAGAGAAATCAACAGGTAAGAAATCTAAAAGTGACTGATAGTCAACACCCATTTTCACCCTTTCCTTCCTTCTAATTGGCTACTTATTTTTAGTAGTAAGGCATAGTAGATATAACAATTAGATTGTCCAGACATCTCAAGTGCGACAAAAAAAAAGAAACTGAAGAAAAAAAAAAATCTAAGTTTTACACCCAGCTAAACAAGCATAGAAAAATCACAACAAAATAAAGCCCTCCTCATGTGAACAAAAAGTGAGTGTTTACTACAGAGTGAAAGAATTTCTGAATAGGTTTACTAACCTTTTTTCACATGATTGCATACATAAAAAAATATTTTTACCAAACTTTGAAGTAAATAGGAGATGGTTTGGTAGCAGAGTAGAGGGGTGACTACTGTGATGGCCCTGACTGCCCGAGACCCAACTCTGCTACCCCAAAGGCTGAAGAAATCAATATCTCAGCACACATAACCTATTCAAGGTACACTGCCTGGGAAGTTCTCTTTCAAAAGATGCATTTCAGGGCTGAGCACAGTGGCTCACGCCTATAATCCCAACACTTTGGGAGGCTGAGGAGGGAGGGTCACTTGAGCCCAGGAGTTCAAGACCAGCCTGGGCAACATAGCAGGACCCCATCTCTACACAATTTTTATTTTTTAAATTAGCCAGGCATGGTGGCGTGAGCCTGTAGTCCCAGTTACTCAGGAGGCTGAGGTGGGAGGATCCCTTGAGCCCAGCAGTTCAAGGCTGCAGTAAGTTATGATCACACTCCTGCACTCCAGCCAGGGCAACAGAGGAAAATCCTGTCATTCATTCATTCATTTATTCATTCATTCATAAATAAATACATAGATTTCAGGATTTACAAACCTGAATCAAAGAGAAAACTTGAGTTGTAGGAGAAATGATGAACCAAAGAAAATGGTAAATATTATCGACTATATAAAGCTAAAATAATAACTATTACTACTATTACAGTTGGAGGTAGAGAAGGGATTAAAATACTGGACAATAATATCTAAATCAAAAAGGTATAAGGGGATTTAATGCCATGCCAAGATCCTTGTGTTACATGGGAAGATTAACATTAGACTAGTAATTATGCAAGTTGACATTTTAATAACCACTGAAAGAATGGAAATATAATGTATATGTACTTCATCCCAGAAGAGACGAAATAAAGAAAAATTGCTCAATCTAAAAGAATCATCTTCTAAAAGAAGACGACTGCTCAATCTAAAAATTGGGGGGTTAGGGGGCAATACAAAATAGAAAAACAGGGTAAATAGCATAAGATGACATAAATAAATCCAAATACAGGCCGGGCGCGGTGGCTCACCCCTGTAATCCCAAAACATTGGGAGGTTGAGGTGGGCAGATCACGAGGTCAAGAGATCGAGACCATCCTGGCCAACACGGTGAAACCCCGTCTCTACTAAAAACACAAAAAATTAGCCGGGCGTGGTGGCAGGCGCCTGTAGTTCCAGCTACTCGGGAGGTTGAGGCAGGAGAATCACTTGAACCCTGGAGGTGGAGGTTGCAGTGAGCTGAGATCGTGCCACTGCACTGCACTCCAGCCTGGTGACAGAGTGAGACTCCATCAATAATAATAATAATAGAAAAATAAATCCAAATACATATATCTATGATTTTAGATAATATATATGCAATACACTTGCCAGCTAAAGAAAACAAAACATCAAAACAGATGACTTTAAGTTTCAGTGGAAAATGCTCATCCCGCACTGGCATCCCCAAGTGATTCTCATCTCCCTGAACCAACACATCACACCTCTCAAATTCCTGCCGGATTTTTCATACTCTTAATTATTCAAACGCTCCCTCTCATAGACTTCTCCCTTTTGATCTTTTCTTACGGCCACTTTCTCCCCAGGACTCTCACCCACCGTCCCCGTCTCTCTCCGTCTCTTTCAATAACTCCCCATAGTGCCCTTTAGAGTTTACAAAGCAAGATACACACATTTCCGCCGCTATCTGGGAGAGTCATAAATATTCTAGGAGGGGCGATAGAGGTCAGAGGGATTGATTGGGCAGGGTCAGAAAGGAGCCCACTGGGGTGATGGGGAGGCTGAGGAAGCGTGGAGGTTATAGGAATATAGCTACGAATGTAGAGAAAGCCAGCAAACCACAATCTTCAGGTAGGTAGACGTTATTGTATGCGTGGCATGTCTTCCCAACAAGGTTGAAAATAGTTTTTGATTTGAAAAAAAATCCCATGAGATAGTCAGGGAAGTGTCAATTTTCCATTTCACAGTTAAGGACACAGAGCCAATCGTGTACTGTGTCCAGGCTCAGAAACCTAGGGAGCTACTGAATCACCCTGAGGGCTGTCCCATCCTGCCACGTGGCTTGGCGCCACCATGGCCTCCTCCCTGTTCCTCATGAGGGCCCCTCCAGGCACCGTGAATCCAATCCCTTTAGCAGGACTCATTTGAAAAGAAAACAAGTAGAACACAGCCATCCCAGCTTCCCCCAGATGTTCTCTCTCACGTCACACATCCTCAGTTCTCTCAGCAGGTCCTCCTGTTTCACTCACTGTTCCTTTAGTGTCCTGGTTTATATTCCCAAGACTGAAAATACACAGTGGTGACTTGGGCTATGAAGTCAAACCATCGAAATCCAAATCCTGGCTCAGCCACTTACTAGCTAGTGACGTTGGGCAAGTCACTTAACCTCTCAGGGCTTCTTTATTCCCCATTAGTAAGAGGAGGATAATTGTAATGTCTACTGCACAGGACACCTGTGATTAAACCAGGCATGAATAGAAAGGTCACAGAACAGTGCCTCACACTTAGTAAGCACTACCTAGGGGTAGGTATTGTTGGAATTATTATGATCATAATCGTCATCGCCTTCTTGGAAGGCAAAGGTGTTCTTTTCTGGTCATTCTGTGTCAATTCAGGGAGAAGTCAAGGCCCAGTCATCTCAGACGCCAGGCACTACTAATCCAACAGAAACCCATGAGTCATGCTGGAGTCACCTGGGAACCACACATTGGCCTAAACAGCCTAGACAGCTGGCTCACTTAGCATTCTGTCATCCAATGACCAGGCCCCAGTGCAATTCTATCACACCTCATCTGCAGGGACACCTCCTTCCTCTGCAACCATCCTCCTCAGGACTGCCACTGTGCTGAGGATTGGCACGGCCAGGCCAACCCGCAGGAACCGCTGGCTCTTAGAGGGGAAGACCAAGGTGACACTCAAGAACCTGGAAAACAGGAAGGGGCAACACTCTTAAAGGACTGACAGGAACTGTGAACAACATTGTTGATGATGGATCAAGGCCGGGCGCAGTGGCTCACACCTGTAATCCTAGCACTTTGGGAGGCTGAGGCGGCTGGATCACCTGAGGTCCAGAGTTCGAGACTAGCCTGGCCAGCATGGTGAAACCCCGTCTCTACTAGAAGTACAAAAAAATTAGCTGAGTGTGGTGGCAGGCGCCTGTAATCCCAGCTACTCGGGAGGCTGAGGCAGGAGAATCGCTTGAACCTGGGAGGCGGGGGTTGCAGTGAGCAGAGATGGTGCCACTGGACTCCAGCCTGGGTGACAGAGCGAGACTCCACCTCAAAAAAAAAAAAAAAAAAAAAAGATAATGGATCAAGTTCAGCACGTAGTTAATCTCTACTTCCTGGTTGTGTCCCTGTACTTGGTACATTGTCACCAGGTGGCAGGGTAGAGCCAAATCTTCTAAGCTACTTTTCCAGCGAGTTGGGGGGAAAAAAAGTATTTGATTAAGAATCACCATAGAGATGTCCGATCTCAAGGCTCTAGTTGTTAAATAGATAAGCTTAAACAAAAACAAACTCCACAGTTTGAAAATTAAAGCAGTCAAGGTGTTTTTCTCAGTACAAATCAACACTACTGATGACATTCTCCTTAGTGAGAGTCTCCTTTGGAAATCGCTTCTCCTTCCCACCAGCATATGAAGGCCCAGTCTTGCAGCCACTGTTTCTCTTGATCTGTACTCCACTAACTGCCCAAGTCACACAGGTAATTAATTAATAGAGCTGGGATTCGAACCTGGGCCGTCTGGCTCCTGAGTCAATGGTCTTAACCCCTGTGCTGCGCTGTGTCAGGCTAGGAGTCTTAGATCATCACATCTATAAGTTGACATTATCTGATGGTGTCACTGATGATAGACAGCATGAGCCATGTTCTAGTATAAGCCAATAGTTATATTTCTAGTGCAGAATATCAGCAGCACAGGATTTTAGAGCAGAAGGGGAGATTGAGTTGCCGAGGAAGGCCTTCTGAAGATGTCATGTCTGCAGCTGCATCTTAAAGGCAGGAGATGTCAACAGGCACAGGGTAAGAGAAATGGCACTTCAGGAGGTGGGGAACATAAAGAGGAAATGCCTCTGTTCCAATGCCAGAAAAGACGCCCCACATAGGAGCTTACCCACATGCCAGGACACGGTCATTGGCCATTTGCCTTCCTGGTCACTGCAAAGGTTTGGGCTTACTTTTTTTTTTTTTTTTGAGGTGGAGTCTCGCTCTGTCACCCAGGCTGGAGTGAAGTGGCCGGATCTCAGCTCACTACAAGCTCCGCCTCCTGGGTTTACGCTATTCTCCTGCCTCAGCCTCCCGAGTAGCTGGGACTACAGGCGCCCGCCACCATGCCCAGCTAATGTTTTGTATTTTTTTTAGTAGAGATGGGGTTTCACCGTGTTAGCCAGGATGGTCTCGATCTCCTGACCTCGTGATCCGCCCGTCTCGGCCTCCCAAGTGCTGGGATTACAGGCTTGAGCCACCACGCCCAGCCTGGGCTTACTTTTATAGAACTCGGCCCATAGTGCCTGTTACCCAGCCCTACCTCCACTTTTCTTTGTCACTCATCTTCCCCAAACAACCCTTTTCCTCTTTCTTTGCTCCTTAAAGATATCTTTTTCCTACACCTTCCCAGAGAAGAAAATAGATTTTTGAAATTGAAATAAAGCTGGGGGGAAAAAAAAAAAAAAGCAAGTGGCCACAGATTTTCTCTAGTTTGCCTCCGTGTGACCAAGTGAGACCAACGGGTCCGTGCCAGCTTCTGAATGGGCCACAGACATAAGTCTGGCAATTGTGCCAAACATTCATAATTCCTTCCTCAGTTAGAGAAGGGACACAGTAACCTTTTACTCTGTCAATTTCAATAGTTGAACGTCCTCCAGCTATAGGGCTGGTTTCCAGAGAAATGCTGGCTGAGAAGCAAAGGAGAGAAAATGGCAGGTGTGAGGCCAGAAGGTTCCCCGTAATGAGTAAGGATGGAAGTCAAGTTCACCGGGCAAGCCGCGACACTCACGTACCTCGTCTGGCGCAAGGGGATAGGTAGGGACACACACAGGAAAGGATCGAAGGTGTTGCTCTGTTTCAGGCAGTGGGGACAAGTCAAGGAAGATCTGTGAGGGTGAAGAACAGAGGCAAACGTTTCATCACACGTAAACAATTTGGCAGTAAAATTCAATACAGAATTACCCTTGCATTTCCACTCCCAGTGATTCCACTTCTAGGTACATACCCAGAGGAATTGAAAACAGGTGTTCAAATACTTGTATACAAGTGTTCATAGCTGCTCCATTCACAATAGTTAAGATGGGAACAATCCAGCTATCCATCAACAGACAAATGGGTAACAGAATATGGTACATCCACATAGTGGGATACAACTCAGCCATAGAAAGGAATGAACCCCGGTCTGTACAACAATGCGGATGAACCTTGAAAACAGTAAGCTAAATGAAAGCAGCCAGGCATGAAAGGGCACATATTGCATGATCCCGCTTATATGACGTATCCAGAACAGGTAATGCCATAGACACAGAAAGCAAATTGGTGGTTGCCAGGAGCTGAGGGAAGGGAGGATGAGGCTGACTGCTTACTGGGTACCAGGTTTTATTTTGGGGTGATGAAATGGTTAGGAACTAGGAGGTGGTAGGTGCACAAGACTGTGAATGTACATGTCCCTGAATTGCATGCTTTAGCGTGTTTAACTTCATGTTACAGGACTTCCACCTCCATTTTTTTGTAAAAAGGGAAAAGAAACTTTAGGACATATATAAATGCACTGACTATGAGAAGGGAAGCTATAACCCGTCCCTGCCATACAAACCCAGCATGCCAACTTCCAGGCTGAAGGGATCTCAGGGCCATCTCTTCCCCTGCTTCTCAGCCTCACTGTGCCCCAGAACCACAGGAAGCTTTTTAAAAAAATTCCAACGTCCAGGCCCCACTCCCAGAGATTCTGTTTCAAGGTGGGTAGAGAGGGGTCCGGACATCAAAATCTTTCTAAAATCCTGAGAGCTTTTAAGCTCCCCAAATGACCCCAGTGTTCACCCATAGTAGAGAACCACTGACACCACCCACCCTCCTTACTGTACAGAAGAAGAAACAACAGAAGTCACTCCTTAAAGTAATAACTAACATTGCAATAGCATTTACTAAGAATCGAGCATCATTCTCAGCACTGAGCGTAGATGAACCCGTTTACCACCCATAGCAACTGATATTATGCCCATTGTACAGAAGAGAAACCTGAAGCACAGCGAGGTTAAGTAATCTGCTGAAGAACACACGGCTCTTAAGGAAGAAAGCTAGGCTCGGTTTCCCGACTCCATGCTCATATCATTCCTGTGTTCTTTAGTAGAAATCAGTGAGGTGTCAATTGGTTCAGAGTAGATATATATAATGTTCATTTATATTCTTTCAACTCTTTTAAACTTAATACTCCCTTACTTTAAAATGGAGCTCAGAAAATGAAATGCAACCTTTTTTTTTTTTTTTTTTTTTTTTTTTTAGAGACAGAGTCTCATGCTGTCACCCGGGCTGGAGTGCAACGGCGTGATCTCAGCTCACTGCAACCTCTGCCTTTTGGATTCAAGCGATTCTCCTTACTCAGCCTCCTGAGTAGCTGGGATTACAGGTGCCCGCCACCACGCCCAGCTAATTTTTTGTATTTTTTTCAGTAGAGATGGGGTTTCGCTATGTTGGTCAGGCTGGTCTCAAACTCCTGACCTCATGATCCACCCACCTCAGCCTCCCAAAGTGCTGGGATTATAGGCGTGAGCCACTGTGCCCAGGTGAAATGCAACTTTTATATTCCACATGTACGTACCAATTTTCTTTCTCCTATCATATGATGCAAGGGATTTCTCTGCATGCTACGTTACTAATTGTAAAAATCTACATTAACTTCTCTGAGGACACAGAACAAGACCGCCCTGGCAGTCTGACTCTGAAGTCCATACTCTTAGCACTGTATGACATTCCCGGGATAAGTCAGCAAGTAAAGCCAAAGCTGGTATCAGAACAGGTTTCCTGAGTCCTTGTGGAAAGTGCCCGTCTTGTTTGATTGGTTTTCCACTGAGCAGACAAATAGGAAAATCCAGGGACAAACAGGAACATAAAGGGGAGGGTGCCGCCTGAGGCACTCCTGGGTGATCTGTCCATTACAAGTCAGTTATCTTGGATACAACTTATCAGACCATCAACCTGATTACAGAAAACAGGCCCCGGTACTGGACATTCCATCGCCCCTGCTGCCTCAGGTCATTTGCCTTTGGGAGACCCATGGTAGTTAGTGTCTTTGTTGAAAGCACTGTATCCGACAGTGAGCGCCAGCCAGCCAGAAACCCAACATTTCTGGGGTCTCCTCTGCCACTGCATCTCTCCTCCAATCCTTCTCCACCTCTGTCCATCACGTACCTAGGCAAAAAGTGGCCTGAAGGAGATACTTGGGTCATTGGGAAATCCCCAAATTCCCATTTCACAAGTATACAAACCAATGAGAGAGAATGTTTTTCATTGACGTCTTCGTGTTTTTCAGCCTGCTAAAACTATGCCGGGTTGCATTCTTCTTGAAGCATTGCAACATATGAAACCAGTTCAGGAATATGACTTTTTACCTTGAGCCACCAACTGCTATCTGCTAGCAAGCGATGAGTGGTTTGTAGAAAAACAAATAGAATGGGCAAATTTTATATTGAAAGAATGAAAATGGGCCGGGCACGGTGGTTCATGCCTGGAATCCCAGCACTTTGGGAGGCCGAGGCGGGCGATCGCCTGAGGTCAGGAGCTTGAGACCAACCTGGTCAACATGGTGAAACCCCATCTCTAGTAAAATTACAAAAATTAGCCAGACGTGGTGGCCAGTGCCTGTAATCCCAGCTACTTGGGAAGCTGAGGCAGGAGAATCGCTTGCACCCGGGAGGTGGAGGTTGCAGTTGCAGTGAGCTGAGATCGTGCCATTGCACTACAGCCTGGGCGACAAAAGCAAAACTCCGTCTCAAAAAAATAAAAATAAAATAAAATAAAGAATGAAAAAGTATAATGTTTTCATAAGAAACTATAGGAAAGATGTGAAATATATCCATGTATCAAAGGTTGAGAAATGAGGACAGACTGATGTGATCAACATCTGGAAGAAGATGGAGAGGCAGCTTCACTTTTACAAAAAGCTCTGGCCACGTTACCAGGCTACAGCAATATACCCCAATGTGGCCTGACGGATGCCTCCGTTCTCCCCATTCGCTCCAGGACATTCACAGTCCTGCTGTGCTGTCTTGCAAGCGCACTCACGGGGCAAAGGAACACAAAATCACCCCACTGCCTTTCAATGTTCACAGGTCCATTTCCCTAAGTTATTCATTCTCCTTGTCAAATTGCTTCTGTTACAAAGCTAACCCTGTCAGTGCTACTAAAACTCAGGGCTGCGGTTTGCTTTTCCACCTGCTACAAATGCCCACCAATGAGCCCTAGGCTTTGCCCCTGAATTTCTTGTCACTCTGCCCTTTAACTGCTGCCAAATACACACACACCTTTCACCTCAAACCCAGTCCACTTGACCTGCTCACTGGACAGTGGATCTGACGTCTACGCAAACAGCAATAATTATGCCAATACATAAGCAAGATCTCACCTTTCGGAGATCTGTTCTGAGGAAGCCTTCAAAAACATCCTTAGATTTTCTGCGGATAAAGGCTCTGAAGGACATGAAGAACTTGTGCACACACACACACAGACACACTCCTCCAGCCAAAACTCCAACATAGCCACAATCATTGGTTGTTAGACTTGCAGACACTCTTAGACTATGATGATAATCACACAGAATAACTAAATATCTTTGCTACAGTCCAGGATCTTCCACACTCTAGTACTGGAGGTTCCTCTTCTCTCCCTCAACCAAAGTCAACAACTCAGCCCCTTAAAAGGGGTTTAAGGGACGATGCCTCTGAATTAACCCATAATAACACATCCATCAATTACATCAAGAAGGCTGATGCCATCCCAGGCAAGCCCTCCCCAAGGAGAGGAAGCCAGGAGAGAGTCAGGGACAGCAGGAGCCGCCAGCCAGGCACTGCCACTACCGACCACTGCAGGAAACCACCTCACAGACCTCAAGGCATCCCTGACGGCACCTTGTCTTTATCAGCAGGCACAAAGCAGGCATTTTCAGCCACTGCCAGTTCATCTTTAGTGTGAACACCTCACCTCTTACTCATCGTGCTATAGGAAAAATACCCAAAGGGCACTGATGGTCCATAATATCCAATCAGCTCAAATGTCACTTCCTCGGAAGTCCTCCCCACCCCCGATTCATCCCACGCCAAGTCAGGCATGTACTTCAAAGCACCCTCGAGTGCTCCGAAGCACTCATCAGTTATAATCATAGAAAAACCCAAGAGTCACCGTAAATCCTAGATTCTCATCTCTCCCTTAGTCCCTCTACCCCTCACCACGTTAGCAAGACTGGGGTGAGGGGTTAGGGGTAGAGGGACTAATGGAAAGATGCTGACTCTCCATCCAAACACATACTCCAAACCCCTCCACTTCCCTCCATCTCTACCGCCACCTCTGCCGTTCCAACCACCATTGCTCTCCCGCTGGGACCACAGTGGCAACACCAACTGTTGCTCCTGCCTCCTCTCGCCTCCCTGCATTGCTCATAAAAAGCAGTTGCCTCTGGGCCGGGTGCAGTGGCTCATGCCTGTAATCCCAGCACTTTGGGAGGCCGAGGCAGGTGTATCACTAGAGGAGTTCGAGACCAGCCTGGCCAGCATGATGAAATCCCCATCTCTACTAAAAATACAAAAATGTGCTGGGCATGGTGGCGCATGCCTGTAGTCCCAGCTACTTGGGAGGCCAAGGCAGGAGAATGGCTTGAACCCCGGAAGCAGGGGTTGCAATGAGCTGAGATCATGCTACTGCACTCTAGCCTGGGTGACAGCATGAGACTCTGTCTCAAAAAAAAAAAAAAAAAAAAAAAACCAGTCACTTCTGAAACTGATGAACTAGATCACTCCCTCCTTTAACTCTGCAGTGTCTTCCTGTGTCCTTGAGACTAAAACCCGCACACTTGGACTGAAAACCTGCCCTACCAGGTCCCCACCCAACTCTCCAG